CAAGCAAAGAGCTTATTTAGAAATTTTAATGAAGTGTTTAGTTTGGTTTTTTTGTAGGGCTGGGGGTTGAGCCCAGGGCTTTGCACTGAGCTACATCCCCAGCTCTCTTTCATTTTGAAGCAGCATCTTGCTAAGTCACTAAGTTTCCCAGCATGGCTCAAACTTGGGACCCTCTTGCTTCAACCTCTCAGAGAGCTGGAGTTACAGGCAGGGGTACCACACCTGACTAAGGAAGTGTATTTTCAGCCACAAATGAAGAGGTGGTAGAGTAATAATCCTCCAATGGCCTACTGTTTTGGAAACATTCTGATGTTTTCTGAACGTTGCCAGATGTTCTGGATTCTGTTTTTCCCTCTTGGTTTTGAGGCTGTGGGGACTGGACTCAGAGTCTTGCACATGCTAGACAGGGCATCTAGCACTGAGCTGTATCCCTACCCCTTTTACATTTTTTTAGTCTGAGACAAAGGCTTACTGTTTCCTTGAGGTCCTTCTGCCCCAGCATCCTGGGATTACAGGAGAGTGGCACCATGTCTGGCTTGGGTTCTGTAAATCTCAAGAAAGACCACTAGTTAGGAGGTTGTATGTCTATGTTTCTTTCGGATGTTTCATTGCCCTGGAATAGCTGACACTGGCAGTTAATATTGCACTCATGTAGGTGCAGTTTTCTTTCCAACTCAGATTGCCAGGTAAAGGTAAAGAAAACAAAAAGCAACTTTGCAAAGAGCTAGTTAACCCATGAGGTGGCTTCACTCATCCATTAAGTTGTTTTGAAGGCTAATGGCATAATTATATGAAAAATACTAACCAAGCTATAATTATGAGATCACTTCTAAATGCCTCTTGGTACATAGCACTGTGTTCAACTCCATAAATTAGTAAATCAAAATTGCAGACACCTGGGTATCAAGACAAAGCATGCTTATTGCCCAATTCTGTTCGAATTCATACAGCTGGTTCAGGAAGGAGGAAAATGCGATTGTTTGGCCACAGAGTATGCCTGTTCTCCAGGATGCCGAACTCTTTTCACAGAAATTTTAGGGAGAATTCTGTAGCTTCCTCTTCCATCCCAGGTAACTACAAACAACAAAGCTTAAGCAAATATTCTATCATGTAACCTAAGAAAGACATTGAAAAATATCTGCTAAACTTGTATTGGCTGGGCACAGTTACACACCTATAACCTCAGCTACCTAGGAGGCTGAGGCAGGAAGATCCTGAATTCCAGCCCAGCATGGGTAACTTAGCAAGGCCAACTTAGTGAGACCCTACCTCAAAATAAAAAATGGGTTGGGGACATAGCTCAGTGGTAGAGCAGCCTTGGGTTCCATCCCTAGTACCAAAAAGAGAGAGAGAGAGAAGGAAGAGGAAGAAAAGGAGGGAGGTGAGGAGGAAGAAGAGAAGAAAGGCGGCGGAGAAGGAGGAAGAGTAGGTGGAGGAGGAAGAAGCCCAAGCATAGTGGCGCTCGCCTGTAATCCCAGCACTCAGGAGGCTGAAGCAGGAGGATCGCTGGCAGTTCGAGGCCAGCCTGGGCTACATAGTGAGTTCAGGGCCAGCCTGCACTACAGAGTGGGATTCTGTCAAAAGAAAAAAAAGAAAAAAGGAGGAAAAGAAGAAGGAGGAGGAGAGGAAGAAGGAGAAGATGAAGCTTGGACTCAGGCATAGCAGTGCACACCTGCAACCCCAGCACCAGGAGGCTGAGGCAGGAGGATCGAGTTCAAGGCCAACCTGAGCTACATAGTAAGACACTGTCTCAAACAAACAAACAAACAAACAAAAAAGCTTATGTTGTGTTACAGTGTGGTATAAAGTGGCAAATTATCAGTCTGGGAGGTTAAGACAGGAGGACTGTTAGTTAGGGTCCTACCTGGGTAATTTAGGGAGACCCTGTCTCTATTAAAAATTTTTAAAAAGAGTTAGAGATGTAGGTCAGTGCAAAAGGCCAAGCACCCCCCCCCCACAGAGTACAGATTTTGATCAGATTTTTGTGTTCAGGTTCTCAGTTTGGCCTTTTCTTGAGAAGCATCAGTGAGCTAGCTGTGCTTCATTTCTGTTAGAAAAGTGGATGTGACACTGCATCAGACGCGGAGCACACGTCTTATTCCGTGGTGGAGTGGTCCACAGCCTAAGAGGTGGCAGCAGGGATCCACCCACCTCTCCATTCTGGTTTCCTGCTTAAATGTCGTGAGTTTGCATCACTTCTGTGGACCTCCTCCGTGTGCAGGGGCATGGTCGTGGTAGTGACTTGGGGGAAGTGTGTGAGACTGACGCACTGAGAAATGCATATCTTGGTCCCCTTCCAGGATAACTGGTACAGAGGCCCTAAAACCTCGGTGATTTTGCAGGCGTGATAAACGTGAAAGCCACAGAGTGACAAGGTGTAAAGACTGTCTTTGCTGTTTATGACAAGTCCCCTCAAGGAGAAGAGATTATGTTAATGAGGTGACTTACTGATTGACTGATTGATTGATTGGTTGATTGACTGAGGTACTGGGAATGGAACCCATGGCCTCCAGTACACTATGCAATCTCTCTACCACAGAGCTACACCCCCAGCGCCAATGAAGTGACTTTTTTTTTCCAGTACTGAAGACTGAACCCAGGGTCTTCACACTGTGCTACATCCTCAGCTAAAGGGCTTACTTCTTATTTTGAGATAGGGTCTCACTAAGTCACTAAATTACTCACATAGAGCTCAAACTCACAATCCTCCTGCCTCAGCCTCCTGCGGTGCTGGGATTACAGGTGTGCACCACCACACCTGGCTAAGGAAATGTACATCATATCAAAATTATATGTGAGGTTGAAACTCTAGAGACCAAAGGATCTCTGAAATGAAAGAGTTTCTTGAGCCATTAGAGATGTTAGGCAGAAAAGGCACCAGGTCCTGGGACGAGTTTCCACAATTACCAGCAGCAGGGCCAGGTGGCAGTTGGGAAATGTCACCAGGCCAGAACTCAGAGCATTTTTAATAAACTTGGGAGAAGGAAAGCACTTCCTACAGAGTAACCTGCACTGATTCTAGATAGGAGGGGTGGATCAGGTGCAGCAGGCACAGGAGGGACAGGAGGACTGAGGACAAGCAGGCTCGGGTGGAGCTCGGGGTAGAACACGCACTTAGCATGTGTGAGCTTGCTGGGTTCAATCCCCAGCTCCAAAGCTAAAACAAAGAAAAGAAGAAGGAGGAGGAGGAGAAGAAGGAGAAGGAGAAGGAGAAGTAGTTCTTCTTGTTGCTCTTGGATTGGTTGGTATCAATGGTCCAGAGAGTTTATGTGTACAGCAATAAAGCCCTGGTGTTTAAATCATAAATCCCATTCAAACATAAGCAGTCTTCTTGTTGGTTTTGCCAGCAGCTGTTAGCTGACTAACCCACTACCACCCTGTGGTCTTTGCGATTAAATTTAGAACATTCTGGAAATTTTATCAGCTGTATTTATCATAAGAACTATTATTATTTGTGTGTGTGTGTGTGTGTCTACAGATCAAACTCAAGGCCTCATACACGCTCTGCAAGTGCTCTACCACTGAGCTACACCTCAGCCCAGGAGCCCATTGTTATGAAGCCCTTAGCCGGGCACCTAAGATATTGTATGTAAGTGTACATCAGAGATTTTGGGGGAGTCTTTGGTGGTTAAAGAAAGGTTTGAGAAGAGCAGTATCTCATCAAAGTGTTGATCATGGAAAAATCAAATCAAATCAAGCCGAAACGAAACTTTCCAACCAACACACTGAGTCTATTTTACCAAAATAGTGGAGGTCCTTCCATCCTGACATATTGGTTAGCTCACAGTGACATCCTGATCACAGGGACTGAATCTCACATTTCCTTGCACCCTTCACTCCTAACCTGGTGTGTTTAGTGGGCACAGCAGGGGGGAAGGAGCCGGATGGAGATTTGTCAATGGGGAAGCAGACAATGTGCTTGCTGAAGCAAGAGAAGGAAGAGGCATCGTCAAAGTTGACTCTAGAATATCAGCTAGAAAGAAAGAGACTTGCCAAGAACGGCCTCCACTTTCACAAGAGAAAAAGCAGGAGTTGGAGATGCCACAGCAGGGAGGGGGATGCCCAAGAGTGCCCTCCAGCTGTAAACTGTGAAGAACAACAGGAGTGGAGCTGCTGCTGACCCCTCGTTCTTGTCCTCACCATCACTGTTCCTCTGGACTCCCTGTAGTTCAGGGACAGTCAGATGCCCAGCGGCAGATCTGCTCTGGAAGCATGTTCCCTTGCATGCCTCCAGAGCTGTTCCTCCAGTACCAGAAAGCAGGTGCCTGGGCTCACTTAGCGGAGGGAGCTGTTTCTCCAGTGTGGACAGCATCAGGCTGAGGTCATGGGAACCCTCACACTGTCCTCCCCATGCTCCTGAGTGGCCTACACTTGCCGCCTGTGGCCATGTGGTCAGGGGGTTATGATGGCGTTGGATACTTGGTGGAAACGTGTTTGTTGTCCTTTCTGCCCAGCTCCAGGAAGAGCTCCCCCAGGGATGTGTGGAACCTCTCTCCTGACTGGGGTCTCAGAGGAAGTGGTGCTCATGCTGTGCAGCCACAGAGCACTTCACCTTCCTTCAGGTGGCTATAGGCTTCTAGGAGACAGAAGTACAATGGCCGGGCCAGCTACAGTACATCGCTGTACTCTGCTGTGGTCCAAGTTCCCCGTCCTCACCCAGACCAAACTTGCGGACCTAGATTCTCTCCCACAGACCGGTAAGTGGTGACCTTCCCCATGTAGTTAGCACCTTGCACAGGAAACCGGGAGGTGGCCTTCGTCCCTCGGAGGCTTGGCTCTGTCTGGGGCCAGGGGTCAGTGTCTCCCACTAGGTTCTCTGCCCTTCCTCTGGCCCCTCCAAGTTCCCACCCCATCGCCTTGCCTTTGGGGAGAGGGACCCTTGGCTTCTCTCTGCCCTCCTGGCGTCTTTGGCTACAGTTTAAACTGACATAGGAGAGAAACCATTGTAACTGCTTTCTCACACATGGAAATCCCACCAAAGTATGAGACACACAGAAAGGTCCCATGACCGAGGTTTATAGAGCATCCTGAGGGCAGGAAGAGCACCGGGCTTCTGGGGCAGATGGAGACAAATTATAAGAGGGAGAGAAGGAAATGGACGGTGGATAAAGCAGTTTGCTTTTTGTAGATGAAAGGCTTTCAGGCTGTAGAAGTTGTCTGAAGCCTCTCTTCCCGGTACCTTGTCTGGTGATCATTTTTCTTTGTAGATATCATTTTCCTTTACAAAAGGACAGCTTTTCAGAGGGACTCATTTGTCTAGTGCGTCTGAAAATAACCAGGTATTCATTAATATGGCAGAGAAATATTTTGGGGTGAGTGTCCTGAGCCCCAAGAAGCCCACCCCAGCCCCACCAGCTGAACACTCCAGGGGGTGCTCGGTTCTCAGCCGGGCCCTGTGTGGTCTCTCTCTAGGGTCCTCACTGTCAGCAGTAAGCTCGTGAGCTCTTCAGTGTTGTCCAGCAAAACACAGGCTGTGTCCCTCCTCCTCCATCTCCCCCAGGTGCCCCTCACACATTCTTGGTCCTTCTGGGGCTGTCCTTGATTCCACTGGGCCCACATCAGCAATCAGTGGTGCAAAGGCAAACGCACAGGCCTGATGGGGTCCCAGGGAGGGTCCGGACCCTCGGTCCCCTCCTGACATAGGAGGAATCAGGTTTTACTCTGCGGCTTTTGCAAGGATTTCCTAGGTCCTCAGCCCAAGGTTATCCCAGCCTTGAGGACCTCTTCTTGGGTCTAAAATATCCAGCACCACCCCCAAGGGAAAAACAGAAAAGAGAAAAAGAGTGGGCTGGGGATGTAGCTCAGTGCTCCCTGAGCTCAATCGCAGTGTTTGAAAAAAAAAAAGTAGGGAGTGTCATGGAGCTGCATTTGAGGTATTAAAGAATTCGCAGCTAATGGCTAGTTTGCCTTTATCTTAGCAACCTTGTTTGCAGATTTGAAATCAGACTTTACCTATATTTAAATCACCTGCTTTGAATGGTGTTAGCGTTTCACTGATACTTTGTAGGGAACACTGACTGAAACCTGTAAGTGCGCTATAAATCAATGCATTCTGGTCACTCCCGCCCTCCCAAAAGTTCTTTTTTCACCAAAATGTTTTAGTGGGGCTGAGCATGGAGCTCTGTGAAGAGAGCGCGCTTAGCATACACAGCACCAGGAATTTGAACCCCGCCCCCACGTTTTTGCAAGTCATCCTTACCTTTGAATTTTCAAGGAAAAACAGATTGTTGATTTTGCTGAGGTGGCTTCTTTTTGGAATTTCTGGCTCTATCCAGTTCCAAATACCACAAGTGGTGAGCATAGGGAAGCAAGGTGCAGAGCCCTACAGTTCAAGGGGCGACTGACTGCTCAGGTCTTGCTCGGCAACCACAGAGCCCAAGCCTTTCAGCTGTGCCTGCCTCAGCAAGCTCTCCAGCTGATGGTTTAAATCAGGCGCTTAGAGTTCTCAGTTCAATTCGAAAGGGAGGTGATAAATACACTGCAGTACATGAACTGTCAACGTGGATACATACATAGCAACCCAGACAGGTGCTGATCGGAAGATTCCGGACATACTGTAAAAAGGAAAGGAAAGGAAAAGGCAAGTAAATATCCAAACGATCTGATCAGCTGGGGCACTCATCTTGGGTGGGGCTCTTGGGACCCGGGCTGAGGCCCTGGTTGGACACAGCTGGACTTCTGCAGCAGCCCCTGGAGCCCAGGATGTGCCAGGAAGCAGCACGTGGGGGGACACGGAAATGGATGGCGGAAAGAGAGTGCAGTGTTTAGGCATCAAAACAAAGATCAGCCCGAGGAAGGGAGTTCAGAATTCTGATTCTCAATGGGAATAAAATACACCATCTCGAATAGACATTCAGAAAGAGGCATAGAGTGGACGCGGAAGGGAAAGCTAATCTGAACGCAGAGCATGTGTGTTCCACAGAGCACAGACATGTGCCCGCGGCTGCTGGCTGGCTCCCTCTGGGGAGGGCACCACATGGAGGCTTCGGGCTGCTCACTGCTGTGGGCAGGCTGGACACTCCATAGAGACAGCAGCCGGTCAGCTTGGTGAGAGGAAATCTGTGCCAAGTCCTTGCATGGCTCCCCTCCCCAGCACCATCGTCGCTTTGCTCACAGACTGACTGTGCACCTCTCAATGTGGCTGAGCTAAGAGCTGTGCAGGAGAGGAAAGACCTGATTTGAAAATATCCTCAGCTGTGATGGCCTTCCAGCGGGCATATCTATGGAACAAAAAGGCTGCCCTGCTGTTATGCTAAAAGATCCACCCATCCATCCACCCGTCCATCCACCCATCCATACATCTTCTCTGTAATTGTTATAAATCCTCAATCATTAATGCCTACCATCTGGCTCAAGTTTTTGCATGATAGATAGGTAAAAAGAAAGTGAGGGAGAGGGAGGAGGGGGAGCAGAGAGGAAGAAAGAGAAGGCCAGAAGGCAGGCAGGCTGGCTAGGTGGAAAGAAGAAAGCAAACAGAAGAGAGGGAAGGAAGGGAAGGAGGAAGGAAGGATGGAAGAAAATGGCATAAACCCTTACTTCAGGCCATTCCTCCCAGGCAAAGTGGGTACGTGATTATTATTTGTGATTTTCCCTACCGGGTGGATCCCCATCAACTCCCTCAGTTCTGTCCCAGGGGTGGCAGACACACCAAAGCAGCTCTGTTCTCCCTGGTCCTTCCCGACTGCAGGTCAAGTCAGGGTGGTGGCCAGGCTGACCCCCATGGGTTATGAGACGATGACAAAGGGCTCTGCACGTGAAATGCCAGCCCAGTGCCAAACACGACCTCCTGTGTGGACACTGTGCCGGGGCTGAGTCCGTGTCAGATAAGCGCCCACTGCCTTTCGTGTTCTCTGTGCGCTGGGCTAGAGGAAAGAAATTGCTGACTCAGTAACCTCTATCAGGTACCAGAGGCTGCACTAATTTTCTTCAGGAAAGAATTTTATCTAGGGCAGCAGTTGCAATTAGAGTTACCATCTGATGAAGCTCAGGATAATCTGCTACTTGTAGTCTGGATCCAACTGACTTCTGCCCTTGTTACACTGAGGGTGTAAGAAGAGTTATTAGTTATAGAAGCGTCTACTAATTATTTTGTAATGTCTGTTCTTCTCTTATGTGACAATTACGGAGCCCTTGTTTGCAACTTGTTACACGATCACTGCCCCTGACAGTAAAGTGCCCATGTGACTACATCCGGGCTCTGGGTGTGTGTGTGTGTGTGTTGGGGCTTTGGGTGCTATACTCTTTTTTTTTTGTACCTGGGATCGAACTCTGGACCTTGCCCTTCCTCGCGAGGCAGGCGGTGGAAACACTGAGCTAAATCCCTGGCCCTGTACTCTCCTTTTTGATCCCTGCTACGTGGAGTGAGGATGTGAGAGCTGCATTCTTATCCCCCAAAAGCCACAGGACGTGGATAAGTTCATTTGAGGAGTTGCTTCAGAGGTTGGGAAGATGGAAAGAAATCACAAGAGTTGGCTGAGAGGAAGCATTCTGTACAGTTCGAGTAGAGCAAAGGAAGTTGTGTCCTAGAGAAAAAAAGAAGAAAGTGAGTCAAGAATCGATGCTCAGCCAGCCATAGTGGCCATGCCTATATCCCTAGCACTCTGGGAGGCTGAGGCAGGAGGATCCCAAGTTCAAGTCCAGTCTGGACAACATAGGGACTTAGCAAGACCCAGTCTTAAAATTTAAAAAAATATTTAAAAAGAGATGAACATGTAGCTCAGTGAGAAAGACTGGGTTCAATCCCTAGTACTGCAAGATAAATAAAAAAATTTTTGAAGAGTATTTAACAATATTACATAAGAGGCAGGGATGTAGCTCAGAGGTGCCGTGCCTCCCCAGCAAGCGAGAGCCCTTGAGTTTGCAAACTCAATATTACACAACACTGATAAGTTGGGTACAACCAGGAATGTCTATTGAACTTGGCAACATGCGATTCAGTAGTGACTTGTCTGTTGTTTCCTTGTGATTAAATTCAAGGTTATGAATTTGAGCAAGAATACCACAGTCTGTCACATAAGGGAAGACATGACATAGACATCTTTCAATACTAGTTACATTGTTAACTCCATCACAGATTTCTCCACTGTAAATGTAATATATTCCCCTCGAACTCAGTAAGAATCTTGTGGGGATACACTGTGAGTCTATAATAATATCCTGTCATCATACTTTTACCCACTGATTTTGGCATTTATTTAGTTTCTTGTCTGCAAACTATTGTTGCTGTGATGTTTGCTATAAGGTGCTCTTAACATTTCTGTTGTCACTTAGACATAACTGGGGTCTACTATACAGAGGCATTTTCTCCTTGCTATTAAGTCAGAGTGTTCGGGCTGCTGGCTGGGGTGTTTGTGATTATGATTCGTGGTCACTTTTATCTCAGGAGAAGCCAGGAAGACTATAGAAAGGTGACAGCCTTCTGACCCTTAAGAAAAGAATCAACCTTCCATTTTTCACATTGTCTTCTAAATTTCAATGTGCTTACATTGCTGAGAACTTAACGACAATGCCCATAACATGACCACTGTCTCTTGGGTGATTATATTCATTAAGTCAGAAGAAAAAGAGCAAGGGAAGAGTAGAAATGAAACGACAATTTTGCCTTCAGTGTCAGCTGCATGTTAGAAGAAGAGAAAGGACACATTTCTCAAACTCAGCATGAGTGAGACGATGACCTTTATGAATTCTGATCTCTTTACGTAATCAAACAAAGGCTTTTCACTCCTCTTGGCAGGAGACTCTGGAGGTGCCTTTGACTCAAGGACAAAACTTTGATTTGAAAGGGGCTATGGTTTCTATTTTTCCTTCCTAGGAGCAGACACAGAAACCTTTCCTTTCTTACAGAAAACCAGACTCTCCGGGTGGAGTAGCAAGGGCAGGATCTTTCATAGGATAATTCAAGAGTTTTGGGGTTGGGAACCCACAGTTCCTTGCAATGCTTCCGTGCAGCCAGGGGAGGACTAGAGAGTCATTATTCTTTGCGGCAAAAGAAAAGACAAGAGGGCACTGTGCATGAAAAGGACCAAACCAGCTCCAGAAGACAGGTGGCCAATGGCCAGGTGCCGGCTAGGCCAGCTCTTGCTGCTAGAGTGTTGTTGGCAGGTACTTAGAGAGCCTGCTTCTAGAACTCTCTCCAAGGCTATCACTTCTCAGGATTTGCTCTCTAATTCTCTGGGCTTCCCTCCTTCAAAACTGGCCTGAAGACTCACTGCTTGGCTGATTTCAATCAATGCCTCGGTCAGACTGACCCTCCGTGAATGTTGCATCAACAAACCTCAGAAGAGTAAAGATGGATTGATTGTACATTTCTCGTGATATCTGACCCCCGCCTCCCCGCCCCGACTATGAGTATTTCCCAACACAAAGGAGACCAAATTCTTTTCTCAGAGCAGACAGAATGCTGAAGGAGGGAAGTGAAGAAGAGAGGCAAAGCCTGGTCTGCTGTGATGGATCTGTCCACTCAGACGCTGTTCAGCTCACTTTCTCTTTGCTCAAATGCCAGCTGCTTACCCCAGCTCCACCCTAATCACCCAAGTCCAAGTGATGGTTCCTTCTCCCACGGATGAGTGTGAAAGGGAACAGAGAATCCCTGGTTTTGCCTGGTGCCGTGGTTCACAACCAGGAAGGCTGCGGCTCTCGAGGTGGTGATTGGCAGTGTGGAGACACAGGGTTTTCCCACAATCTCAAGAAAGGAGGTGCTGCTCCCATCTAGTGAGGTGAGGCCAGGGATGCTGCCAGGTCCCCTGCGATGCTGTAAACAATCATCTGACTCGAAATGTCAGTGTGCTGAGGCTGAGAAGCCTTGCTTCCGGTCCCCTGAAATACCTCACATGCATAACTATGGCTATTCTTTAAAAAGCAGCTCGAAGCTGGGTGTAGTGGTGCACTCTTGGGGGCTGAGGCAGGAGGATCTCAGGTTCTAACCAAGCAAGCTGGAGACTTAGCAAAACCCTGTCTCAAGAAGAAAACGCTTGGGCTGAGGATTTAGCTCAGTAATTCTGGGGCCTGCCGCGCAAGGGCAAGGTCCTGAGTCTGATCCCTGGAACCAAAAAAGAAGAAGAAGAAAACACTTAAAAAAAGATCTTGGGATGTAGCTCAGTGCAAATGCCCTGGGTTCAATGTGCAGTACCACAAAACAAACAAACAAAAGGCAAATCAGATCATGTCACTTAAAACATTTAAATAGCTTCCCATTCTTCTTAGTACAAAAAAAAATTAAAAATCCATAGCTCCTTGAACACACAGGGCCTGGGAAACACACTGTTTTTCTTTTACCCCATTTAGTAGCCAAACTGATTTCATTCTTTTCATTTTTCCTAGAAACTACCCTACTTCCTTCTACTTCACAGTGGTTTTTGGTTTTTGTGGTACTGGGAATTGAACCCAGGGCCTTCACCCTGAGCTAAATCACCAGCCCTTTTAAAATTTTTTATTTTTGAGACAGAATCTTGCCAAGTCACTAGATTATCCAGGCTTGGTTTGAACTTGGTTTTTTGAGCCAGGCTTTTGCTATGTGCTTCCAGCTGGCCCTGAACTCACCATGTAGCCTCAGCGC